ATGTCCTGACAAGGGAGGAGAGGTGTCGATGCTGCTGGCTACAGCCGTTTTGGGAGGCGCACTCATCACATTTGTTAACAAATACGCTAGCAACAGATGGAGAGAAGCTTCTTGGAAATGAACCCAGTTATCGCGAGTCCTAAAATACAGCATGTTAATAGAAAACTCGAGGTGCAGTGAGGCCAAGAGGTCAGAATTTGATTGCCATTGAAAAGATGGTTTGCAACTCACAGGCCAAAGAGCAGGCCACAAGGTCACGCCACAGCAGGCCACAAGAGGAGCACAGAATGGGTCAGGGGACTGTGAGCAAGAGCTGTTGTTATATTTTCTCAGGAAGGAATGGATGAGGCATAGGACTGCCTGGTTAGGATAATTCCCATGTACTCTGGGAAACAGGGGCTCCCCAGTTGTCTGGTACCTAGTCATGGGGTGATGGGAAAGGTGCACCGTGGCCCAGAGTGGAGAAGCACTGCAGAGAAGGTGGTGGGCTCTGGATTGGTTGGCTGTATCTGAAAAATGTGCCCCAAGTGAGGCCTGGCTATCCTGTGAAGGGCAGGACCTGCAGGTGAGCAAGTTCCCAGAGGTGGAAGCCTCAGAACACAGAAGATAAGAGACTTCCTGTACAATGAAGACAGCTCCTTGGGTCTTCTGGGGTGGGCTCTGGATAGCCAGCTGCTGAAGATCCAAGTCAGGTTTCTGATCCCCACTGTACCCCCCCCCCACAAGACCATCAGAAGACAGTGAGCTTCTTGGGATGCTCTGCAGACCCTCCTCAGAGTTCAGAATCTCTTGTGGAGGTGCCCTCTCCCAGGAAGCCCTCCTGGCCTCCATGCCTCTGTCTCCCCTGCCCAGGGTCAGGCTTACCTGTCTACGTTTCCATACATCCCTCAGCTCTGGCTTCAGGGTAGAACTACCTGGGAGCTGTAAAAAGTCCTAGTGCCCAGCACCCCATCCTGCAAAGGAATTGGAAGACCTCTGTGGGCAGGGCTGTGGGACTGTACTTTTCAATGCTACTGGGGTAGCAGGCAGCCATAACTGAGAACAGCCACCTCAACCAGGAGGTCCTGGACTACAGAGGCAGTGCATCTGGTGGCAGCCCTACACAATGTCTGGCCAGTGGCAGATCTGTGATCATGAAGGACCTTCTCCTTAATATGGATGAGGACAAGGACAACAGCCTTTGATTCATCAGTAAGCCTTGAACTTGGCCCTCAATGACACATGTGGTCATAATGCAAGTACTTCCCTTCGGTCTCTGACTGCACTCTCTGCCCATCTTTGGGGAAGTCTGGATCCCCATGTGAAAATGCTCAGTGTCCCCCCCCATGCATGGGGCTCCTTCCATTTCTAGCAGTATCTTCTATCAGCTGTCAGCCCCCATCTTCTGCTCTCTGGGTCACTCCTGCGGTCATGGGACTTTGCAGTTTCCTCCCTCCTGACTCTGGGTTTTGGCCAAGTGACTTACTCTGCCTACTGGGATGGTGCCAGTGTGACCCAGCAAAGGCCCGAGTGGCCGGCTTTCCCTGCTCTTGTTTCTGCTGTGGTCATGAGAAGGCCACTGGGGAAGAGCCTGCCAGAGACCAAGTCAGGAGGAGCAGGACTGATTCACCCAGGCAGCCACAGCTACAGTGGGTCAGCTGACAGCCAGGCAACCCTTGGTCATAGGTGCAGCCCAAACAGCATCACCAGATTCCACCTTCCCTCAATGTTGGGAGCAAGTGTAGTCAAGACCAGTCTAGTCCAGCCTGAAGCACTCCACCCCACAGACCTGTGAGTGGTTGTTTCTTATTTATATTACTAGAGTGGTGTGGTTATGTGTTACCCAGTTTATTGCGTAACAGAAAACGGACACGGTCACTTCCTCTTCTCTGTACTCTCTCAATCCACCCCCTGCCTTGGGCCCTTGTCCTCAGCCTGAAGAGAACCCTTTCACCCACCATCTCAGCTGCTGCCCCTTCCTCAGTTCTGTTTTACCCTCTCAATGCTGTGCTGTTGGTTCCAAAGCTCCAAATCTCAGCACAGAACCAAAGTAACTGTTCTAAGACCCCAAACCCACCAGAAGACCAGGAAGCAGGGCGGACACCCAGGAGCAGAGGCTGGCATAGGAGACGTGGCATTGAGCAACTAGCAGATCTCAGCACTATCAATAAAATGTTTGTGCATTTATCGTGATGTTGGTGTTTCACTGCAAACACAGCTAACCAGTGTGTCTCTGAGACAGCACCTAGCACCTAGCACCTAGCATCGGAGCTCCCTGTTTTGTAAATTGTTTTGTAATGCAATTTGCAAACTTTCAGGTGGATTTTCAGGTGCAAATGTGCACCAGACCCACTTAGCAACACAGGGAACTGCCCTGAATTGTGTTCAAACTGGATGGCACCTGTTTGACAGTAAAGGCTTAGAGGGATAATTAATAAACAAAAACTTACATAATAGGATCAGTGATGCAGACGATTCCTGCCCCAATGTCCATAAAAGGTGCCAGCATTCCCAGTGGACTCACTGGGGTGAACACATCAAGGGTGAGTTTTTGCCTGATCAATGGGCCCAGGAACTCTCATTAGCTGCCACGTCACAGGAAGTCCCTGGTTGGCTTTGGAGACAGATATCTGGGAGGTTTAAATAAGCTGATGATGCTTGGAAATGAAACTCAGAGCCTTGGGGGGAAACAGTAGGAATCAAAGCTGCCTTTCCATCCCAGATGTGCTCCCCAGCCCCAGCCCGTGTTCCCAGGGAACCCAGTGCAAGCACACCTGGGCTAGCCTTACCCAGGTGGACAGAATTCTGGAAGACCTGGCTTTGCCACTGCCCAAGTTAGCTGTGGGGCATTGGGAGTCCCTGAGGAGTTCCTTCTGAATCCCCAGCCCTATATGAGGCCTGCACTGCAGGACCTTCCATCCTACAGAAGCGAAGGAGCCAGTGTTCTATGCCAGACTCGGGGACCTGAGACCTGCTGGCAGTACCTGAAAGCAACTGTGTTTGGAGATAAGGGGTCTAAAGAGTTAAAATGAGGTCCCAGAGTGGTCCCAATCCAGTCTGCCTGGTGTCCTTATAAGAAAAGGAGACAGGACACAGACACACGCAGAGGGACGAGCATGTAAGGACGCAGGGAGAAGAAGCCTGTGCACCTACTGAGTCTACCTCAGACCCCAGCCTCCGCAAGTGCAGAGTCATAGTCTGGGCTGGAAGCCCCAGCCTTGGGCACTTGGTTATGGTGGCCCTGACAGGCTGGTGTGCCTGGCCTTCTGGTGGGATGTCAACTTTCTTCTTACATTGGGGTCTTGTGGGGCCAATCTGCTCATCCAGGTCCATTTTCCACCTAGCAGCTTCAGTGGCTGTCTAACTCTACCTGGTACATTTTCTTCAGTGGCCCCAACAGCTACAGTCTGAATGTGTCCCCAGTTTTCACCTCCAAATTCAGTATGTGGGTGGCATTTGGAGGTAGGACCTTTGGGAGGTAATTAGGCATGCGGGTGCCTGTAATGGTCAGTGGCTTTGTGAAGAGAGCTGAACTGCACATGTGTGCTGCGTCTCACCAGGACGCCCTGAGCCATGTCACGCTGCAGCCTCGGTAGGCACCTTGCAGATACTGACAACATGCACCTGAGTTTCCCAGCCCCTTAGCCAGGAGCCAAATAAGCTTCTGATCTTTGTAAGTGTCCAGGGTCCTGGTACTCTGTCATAGTGGCAGGTGACAGATTAAGACAATAAGGGTACACAAAGGTTGGACACCTCAAGCCATACTATTGGCACACGGAAGGTTCTAGACAGAGCCAAGCCGTGGCCTCAGCCTGCAGGGGTGGGGAGGGAGCAGGGGGAGCTGAGTGGAAGAGGTGCCAGGCTCACCCCTGAGTGTCTCAGTGGTACCTTGGGGGAACCCTCTGCTGTCACTCCAGCCTATGCCCAAGGGGTTGGGGAAGAGCTTACAGCAGCCCAGTGAAGTCAGTGTTCAGGCTGCAGGATGTGGGCTACAAAGCTGCCATGGCACTCAGTGTGACCACTTGTCCACTCTGCTGAGCTCCTTGTGCCCTGCCCTTGCTCCCCACCCTCCACCTCTTCTTTTTTTGCAGTACTGGGGATAGATCCAATGGCCTAGCACTTGTTAGACAAGCCATCTACCATTTAAGCCACACCTCCAGCTCATTTGTTTGTATTTTGTTTTTGAGACAAAGTTTTAATAATGCCCAAGCTGGCCTTGAACTCGAGATCTTCCTGGTCCACCTCTTGGGTTGCTGGGGTCACAGGTGGGTACCACCATGTCCAGAACCATGGCTTGTGGTTTCTTAAACTTTACTGAGCATCACACCTCACAAGGCAGACATGGCACACAGGGGCCCTGGCTGGCTGAGGCAGGACAGGGATGGGCTCTGATTCCTACCAATGCTGGTCAGTGATTCCCACAAGGCCAGAATAACTGAGTCCTTGCTATAGGGCCTTGCTACTGGAGATGTGGTTCATGGACCAGCAGTGTCGCTTCACTTGAGGGCTGTAGAAAGGCAGATCTCAGGCCCCACCTCAGGCTCTCTACCTAAGAAAGTACCAGGGAGCCCAGGTGCACACAGAAGCTTGAAGGAGACATAAAGGACAGGAGAGTGAAGGCTTAGTGGGTGACTGCCATGGAGCTCTGGGTTGCCAGCAAACACTAGCTCGTTTTGTCCCCACCCCAACCGTGGAAGGGGGCACAACTTCCCCATTTTTTTAGGAGATGCCATTGAGTCTCAGTGAAAGGTGAGTGACTAAGTCACAGACTCATGGGTGGGGAGCGAGGGTGGGAAACTCAGCGATCCCACAGTCTTCCCTGCTGTCCCCTGTCCTCCTCAACTACGACATGAACAGCAATGACTTTTAAGGAGACACCTTCAGGTGAGTTTGACTCAACTTACCACAGCAGGATATAGGCCAGAAAGTGACATAGGATTGATTTAAGGGTTTTCTAGGGCACCCCAGTTCCCCAGCGCCCTAGACTGTCCACTGAGGGTCCCCAGGAAAGGGAGTCTTACCATGCTCATCCAGCAAGATGTTGTCTGGCTTGATGTCTCTGGAAGAGAAAAGAGAGAGACGGGCAGTGTGAGTGCTGGGGCCTGGTGGGGAGCCAGCACAGACCCCATGTTATAGGACAAAGGTGATCCCATGCCAAGGACTGTCTCCTGGTGTGACAACAGAGCCCCTCTTCCTTCTCCCTCCTGTAACTGCAAGTATATTGTTTGAATTTTTTTCCAGAATGCTCTTAATTTTGGGCCTCTCAACTCCAGGTGTAGCAATGGTCATGAGAAACCCTCCATCCACCTGTTGGAATTTTGACTTTCATTGTCACAGTAGAGACTGCAGTGAGTGCAGGTCTGCTTCAGCAGGTAGAGGCACTTTCCTGCTCTGCTGTCCTTCAGCCCTCCCACCGGAGGACATGAGTGTCACGCATCACTTCAAAGACAGAACCAGGGGGCCAGTAACTTATGTAGGTCAGAGATTGGCAAGTGACAGCTTTGGGTCAAGTCCAGCACTCGGCCTGTTTTTGTGTCATCTGTGAGTTAACAATTGCTTTTATATCATTAAAGGGCTGAAAAGCAAAACAATAGCAACAACAAAACCAAAAACAAAACACAGGCGCACACACAAGAATACACAACAGAAGCTGATATGGCCCTGAAGGCCTAAAGAATTCACCACCCACCCACCCTTTCTGCAGGAAGTTTGCTGAGCCCTTTTCAGGAAAACATAGAGTACAATCAGGAAGGGGAGTTTCTGGAAAGTTCCACCCTATGTCACCATTACAGCAGGGTTTGCTCTGCACACTTGCATCACTGCCCCTCACACAGTGCTGGTCACCATGAACACACATGAAACAAGAGTGGGCCCAGGAATGGAAGGAAGAATGTGTGACAAGACAAACTTCAGCTGCACGCACCTCACCGCTGAGGATCTGTATGGAAACCATAGATATCAGAAACACGTGCCCCACACAAAACAGCTACTGAGATTAATGACAGCTTTCTTCGAAATAAAGAGCAATTGCTCCTGAGTTTATCAAATATTAATTCTACCTGAAAACACACTAAGGTTATTGGTAATAAGCCATGCACTGCCTTCTTGGGGAGGAAAGAAGCACTCAGGCTGCATATTTAAATTTTTCTTTTCACTGTGGCTTTTCAAGCCCATGAATTTTGATGAGCATTAGGTAAATGGACCCCTGCTGCCTAGTTCATGAAACACCACATCGGAACAAAAGATCACAGAGATATGTGTGGAGGCAGTTGGAGGGGCCCCTGGCAAGGATGAACCTGAGAACGGACAAAATTAAAACAAGGCAGATGACCCAATGTCAAGTGTGTGTGTATCAAGTCAGCAAACACTGGTTCTCAGCTCAGGGCAGGGCTTCTTGAGAAAGGTAAGAAAAGGGAGAGTCAAATGTGTCAAGAATGACAAAAGCAGCAAATGCTAAGGCCCATTCTTTCAACTATCCCCAGGACTGGGGTGGCATTGGTGGGGTTGTGGGGAGCAGAGAAGTGGTAACTGTAGTCCAGAGAACATGAACCACGGATCACTTGCAAGGGCCATGACCCGGAGATACAGAGAGAGTTGAGACCAAGGGTGGGTGGGTGGGTGGGATGACAGACCTAGAAGACATGATCGGGCATAGTAGGTTGAATGTGCAGGCCCTACCGCAATCCATGTCCACTCATAGATAATCTCAGAACAGGCTCCTACTTAGAAATAGAGTCTTTGTAGGTGCAGTTAAGTAGCTGATGATCTCAAGATCATCTCGGGAATTTAGGGCAGGCCCTAAATCCGATGACTCATGTCTTCCTAGGAGAACGGGGATGGGAATCTGGACACACAGACACACGCACGAAGATAGCCATGTGAACCTGGCAGTGGAGACTGGAGTAACAGCCTCCAGACAAGGAGAAGCTGGAGCCAGCAGAGCTGGATAAGTTCAGGGCCAGGTTCTCCCAGAGGCTCTGGAGGAAGCTTAGCCTGACCACGCTTCACTGTGGGCTTCTGGCCAGAACTAGGACAGAATAGATTTATGTTGTTCAAAGCCACCAATTTTGGGGTTGTCTTCTGTGACAGCCATAGGAAGCTGCCCCACTGGTATGGTGGAAGGGAGAACTGCTGGAGGAGGATGGCACATCCCAAGTGGTAGCTGGGGACCCCACTCACCACAACACACTGTGGGCGAGCCCACCACCTAGCCAAGCCCCACATTGTCACAGGAAAGGCACTGCTCACAGTGTCTTGAGCCATGAGAATGGGACACAGGCCGACTTGGTCACGAGACCCCTGTTGGGGAGAGTCCAGCTCAGAACTTAGATTGCCCTGTCCCCTCCCTTACTAGCTGGGGAGGTGCCTACTTGTGCCTCAGTTTCCCTTGCTGGGTTAGATATTTGGTACCTATCACATCTTTCTGGATCAGCTCTTAGCAGAGTGGACTCTTAAGCATTTTGGGGGTGTCCCTCTGTGGTTGCCAGGGCAATAGAGTCAGACAGATGGGGACCCATGCACCTTGCATCTTAGAAGGGAGGCAGACCACAAAGAATGTAAGTAACGTTACGATTACAGGTTGGGACCAGGGCTCTGTAAAAAACAAACCAGGGTCTGGGAGAGATACCATTAGAGGGGCCCTGCTCCCAGCAGGCAGTCCTGGAAGGTCACTGAATAGGGACAATACAGGCTAGCTGACATCTGAAAGGCAAAGGGGACACACAATCTAGGAGCAGGTTCTCCTTTTGCAGGTGAGGCAGCAGGAGGCCAAGAGTCGCATAGGTCTGACCTGTGACATTCTTCTAGCTTGTGAAATGTAACCACAGTGAGGTGACCAGATGGTGCCTCCTCAATTTGCTTATGTCCTATGGCAGAGTTGCCATGATGTGTTAAATTACATGAGACTGTGGAGGCAGATGGGATGAAGGGCTCCTCCCTTGAGTGCTGGAAGACTTGAACCACTGTGTGTAAGCGGGCCACGTGGCGGGGATGTGCCAAGGCCTTAAGAGAGACCATGGGCCAGTAATTAGCAAGAATATGAGGACCTCAGTCCTACAGGCACAAGGACTGGATTCTGTCAATCACTACGAAGGCTTGGGAGAGAACCCCAAGTTACCGAAAGCATGCAGCCCAGGGGCACCTGGCTTGCACCCCTCCTCACCCATGGAACCAGAGAAGATAAATGTGTGTGCGTAGTTTTATGTCACTAAGTTAATGGTAATGAGTTACACAGGCATGTGACCACAGGAAATTTACTCTGAGCCTCATTTTCCTCACTAAGACTCTTCAGGAAGATGGCATAGGGAGTGCTGAAGTAGGAGGTACTGGGACCACTTGCTCCTTTTAAAGGTGCTGGGGAGAACCCTGGGGACATTCTTGAACTTTTAGCCAGGTGCATTAGATCTTGGGCAGACCCGGGCACAGCTGTGTGAAGAGGCAGGGAGGCTGAGTCACCAGAGATTTTATAAAAAGGAGCGTTTTATGGGCAGAGCATCTTATGAGAGCCCATTGTTCAGTGGGTTTTGGGACCATTTCCTCCAGCTTTATTTTTCACACCGATCTTATCTCTGTGCTGAGCGTCATCCTGCTAAAAATGAGCTCGCATGGCCAGAGAGGACATTAGAAGCATGACGTGGACCAGGAAGGCTGTGAATGTTTTCTGAGGACAGGCCCATAATTGTAAAGCCGGGCCAGAAGACACTGTGATGGAAAGAAGGCCGGAGAGGCTATACACCTGGTCCCGCTCTTGAATTATTCCTCAGCCCCCAAGGAAAATGTCAGCTGGGCTTGTTTGAAAAACAGCACAGAATTGGCTGTACTCCAGCAGAACCCAGCACTGACTGCCAAGGAGGCCCGAGAGGCCATGTCTGCCTGTGCCCCTCCACAGGGGCTTCCTGGTGTCTGGGCTGGCAATCCCAGGTGGCAACAGAGACCCATGAAAACTTCATGGGAAAGGGCTGGGCTGGGGAGCAGACATCTGTGTGATTTTCCCAGTAGTGAAGGAGGCAGGCTGTCCACGGGGAGAGTGCGCCAAGGGAGGTGGAGAAAGACAGGAGAGACGGAGCTCTGAGCCCGCCTCCTGCTGACTGTAGGCATGTGCACACGGCCCTCTGTGAGCCTGTTTCCTCAGCTTTCCATTGGGTAATGATGCCCACTCCGTGTGGGTAAGCGTGAGGATTTGGTGAGATGGTTCTGATGGAGCAAATAGTCCAGGACCAGGCGCACAGGACTCACAGCCACTATTGCTCTGCAGTGGGAGGCAAAGTCAGTGTTGTGGAGCAGCCACAGAGCGGGTACTGGGGAAGGGTGGCCGGGGTGCTCACTGGGGGCCAGGGAGTGACGTCAGGGGTTCACCTTGGCTGTCAACCTCCAGCTTAGCCAGCTGCAATGGGGCAAGCCCGTGTGGAACGTGATACCCTTGACCTTGGTTCTCAAGTCTCAGAACCTCTGAGCATGTTGGCATGGATTCCTCTTCTAGAAACTAGGTAACGATGAAAAAAGAAGCCATCCTCACTACTCATTACACATTACTGCTCTCCTCTCTTCGCTGCTTCCTGTGGTGGGCAGGGACCTGTCCAAGCCACAGTGCCTGGCCATTTACGGTTAACAGCAGTGCTGATGACATTAGCATTTAACATTTATTGAGTGCTTGCTGTGTGCCAGCGACATTCAGGGTGCACCGGTGCTGTCACCGTGGCCATCAGCTACCGTTGAAGCACTTTACACGTGACTTCATTTAATTCTGGCATAAGTCCTGCAGGCAGGTAATTCTATTGGTGAGTAAAGAACAGCAACTACAGAGGAGCAATGTTGGGCAAGGTCCTCTGTGACGTCAGACATCAAATGGTAGCAGAGATCAGACCCATTCCCAGGCTGCTTTCTGGATCGGTGTTCTCTGGTTGGGTGGATAGGATGCTGTTCAAAAGAAATGAGGTTCTCAGAGTTCTAAAATGAGCAGTAACAACTCGAGGAGCATGCTATGCTTACCATTAATTTTTTAAAATTACACTTCATATTTCAGTATGCTTTTTATTACAGAAACCTCACACATAAGGGTGC